AGACTGTGACCTCCCTTTTCCCATGGTTCATTTGCATTGATAATATCTTGTTCTTAATAAACGCAACATTTTCATTCCACTTGAGTAAATTAAAATACAAGTTGCTTAGGAAGCTTTCAAATCAGTCTACTTCCTCTGTAATAAGTGGGCTGAGATGTGGCATGGGATAAAGGGACATGATCTGCTTCCCTATTTTCTTGGGATCTGACACCTTACAGAAAGCTGTTTTACTCACTTTTGCTTCAACAGAAGCTCCCATTTGTATCAGAGTCTTAATGGTTTCTACCAGGCTCTTGTTTCTCAACAGAAGCTCCTGAACCTCAGGAGAGTGAGGTGGTTGACAGTTTTGCAGTTCATGCAGCACAGCATTATGGGCCAGAACAGCACAGTGCAGCGCTGTCAAACCTTAATTTGAAAAATAAAATCATCATTAGCAAATGAGTGCAATAGAGAATTAGTAACTGGCTGCTTGTTTCCACATTTCCAAGTGATAAGGACTGCTCCTGCATGGCTCAGGATTTGGGTTGTCAGTCAAAGAGTTAAGTACCAACTTATGGGGAGTAATCAGCTAGCAGGTTAATTAATCTCTTCTCATATACTTTGTTAAAAAAATTAAAAAATATATATATTTCAGAACGAGTTATTGCATGGAAAAGAGGATCAATTAAAGCAGCTCTCTGGTGCCAGAGATTCTGCGTTCTCTACCCACTAATATACTACTGGCACTCACAGATTTTAAACAATAGCCCATTATCATCTAGAGTCTCTGCGCCAAATATGTCAATCAGTCAGAGAGAAGAAGGAAAGATCCCAACAGGCAGAGGATAACCATGCTTTTATCTGACAAATATGCCAATCATAACGCAATTTCGAGTGTAATTGCCAATTTCAACCTGGCAAAGCAATACCCCATTTTATTGCTTTTCACCCAGAATTAGATTCACATCAGCAGCTATAAAACACTGTAACGTCCAGTAACTTTGTAAGTCATAAACTCCAAACTACTTACCATCGTAGTTCGTTGCCTCAAGGTCCACATACTGATTGCTTCCCATGGCTCCCTTTTGGATTGCCTACAGAAGTGGGAACAGGCATATGTTTAGGTCTACCCAAACCGCATACTGCTTCCTCAAGCTTGTATACAGCCTTGTTGCAAAGTTGCAATAAATAAAAGCATTAAAAAGAACCTTATTTACTGATTTGATGTAGCAGAGGATTCCACCACATTACTCCAAAACACTGGCAAGAACCTTAAAAGTCAAATTCAAGCTTACTTTAAACCACGGCTGTTGAGCCCTGAGACATATCTACAAGGCTACTGAGAGAAAGATAAGGGGAAGCGTGGTGTTTTCGGAATTTTCTGTAACAGCTAATACCAAGTTAAGAGCTACAATAGAGCTTCTCACCTGAAGGACCTGGGCATGTCCCTTCTCAGCACAAACATGCAATGGCGTTCTACCCCAGCAGTCTGTGGTGTTGACTTGAGCCCCCAAGCTAACCAAGTCCTGCACAATGAGATGCTGATTGGCCGCCACAGCAACCTGAAATGCACTCTGCAAACATTGAGAAGAAAATTTCAACTATTAGTCATCTGATCTCCAACAGGAAGGAGCAACTAAAACAAACACAAAGCCTAGCTAGCTACATGGTACTATTTAAGCAGTGATTATGAATACCAGGAAGCCAGGACAAATGAAGTTGAGCGTATAGTTTTCCCAGCTCAAGGTGATCCCAAGAAGTATTAATAGCTCAAGGTTAGTATTAGTATGCAGACTAAATCTCAGGGTTAATATTAAATAAGCATTTCACCACATTTTCCTCAAGGTCCAGACATGCAGAGCACTCAGGTGCACAGATCAGGTGCACAGACGTTGAGAACCTCACCTGGCCATTGTGCTCTTTAATATCCAGCATATGCAGAGCAGCCATTTTCCTTGCGAGAACGTAGGAGAGTGCTCGTCTGCCCTGGGCAACAGCGATGTGAAGGAAGCTGCAGGGAAGAGGGAAAACAGTTACACAACCATACAACCTGGGGCTCAAATCACTACAGAGACACAGAGATCGTTATGGGAAGGGTGCTATACTGCCAGCTTCAGCCTTCTGGGTGACTAAGACGGGAACACAAGCACCTTCCTCCCAAGGTAATTTCAAACATCTAAATTAGAATCTTTTTCTCTCAATTTACTAGATAAAAATCTAACAATAAGTACCTGAAATTAGATGATACAACTACCTTATCTACCAAATGTGCTGCAACTGCGTGCATCACAGCCCGTCAGTGAGACCATGATTACCGAAACCACTGCGCTCATGACACAAGCACTACTATCAAAACAGCTTTCATTAAAACCCAGTAGTCCACCAAAACCTGAACAGAAGTATTCCCCAACCTTCTACTTGGGAAACACTGAGATAAACAGCACTCACGTGTCTCCATCAGAGTCTTTTGCGAGAAACTGGTCTTGAGAGATGTTAGCCAATTTGTTTTCCTCCTGCTCCACTTGCCACTGAAAAAATGACTTGCCCAGCTGCGTTGTGTTTCTGGCAACATTTTGGTGTGGTAGTGAGACATTCAAAGCAGCCAAAGAGATGCTGCGCTCAAGACTACCACAGATATTATTGGGAGCCAAGCTGAAATTCTGAGCATGGGAGCTGACATCAGACTGCGGGTGGGCACTCGTCAGCGGCTGGAGGGGAGCAGAGATGTTCTCCGAGCCTTCAGAATCGTTGAGGAGGGAGGAGAAACTTTGTGAAGGGCAATACTGCAGTTCATGGCTCTCAAAGGTATTCGGCTGGTAGCTGGGAGACTGGTCACTGGCAGAAAAGGGCCTGTACTCCAGAGATGCATCCGAAGTATAGCTCTGTGACAACTCCTGGTTCTGCGATGAAGGAAACGGGTAATGCTGGGGAGGATCAAGCATATTCTGGGAGGTGTGATCCTGGAATGCTTGGTACTTCTGGGACGGGGAAAAAGTCTGTGTTCCTGGACTGTCTTGGTATTGCTCACCAGGCGAACTGTGACTGGAGACACCGTGCAACCAGCTAACCTGCACTGTATTCAGAGAAACAGGGCTCGACTCATTCTTAATGTTTATAATGTTCTGGAGCAGATCAGAACTGCTGTCATGCTTTGGTTCGTTTTTATGTGTCTCCTCCATGCTATCCATTGAAGTCGGTGTCTGGGGTGGTGTCTGTCAGAAAAAGAATCCAAACAAGTACCAGCAAGTTAGAGGCATTATTTTAGCTAGCAGTTTTTGATTACCCAAAAGAAAACAAAAAGCACTAGAAAAAAGTAGTCCAAGCTTACCAGGAGGTGTGGGTGAATATTAGCTTGGCGTTTGAAAGAAGGTCCATCAGAAAGGAGCTCAGGAGCCTTTCTTTTGCCACTGTGACCCAGGATGCTCTTCAGCTCTGCTGAAAAGAAAAGGAATTCACAATCCACGTGGAGATTATTCCTACTATCTACTTTTAAAATATAATGGTAGTATATATATTATATATATGTATTTTTTTTCTTACCTGTGTACTGTTCGTAGTTCACCAATCCTCCTTGTGCCTTTTGAGAGAAAAAAAAAAATCTAGATTATCCCATTATTATAATGTTATTTCAGTGGGAAAATAAAAGAAGACAAAAACAGAAGCTTGCTTCTATAAATAGAGAATACACCTTAGAATAAACCTAGTAACATGGCAATGTAACCCTAATTTAATTACTTTAATTAAGGTTAGAAAACGTAAAGAGTTTTATGGAACTGAAACGAAAACCGCCATTTTTCTTAAGGCTTTTTAAGCTATTTGTTACAATACCGCAGAACTCAAGAAAATCTGGAGACAGACAACGTCCTTAGTGAGGTGTCAGGATTTTTTCTTAATGTAAACCTGCCAAGTTTACCTCTCTCAAATGCTGTAAAGCTTCCTATGCAAAAAATTTCCTGTGGCAACACTTAACTAGGAAGCTCAAACATACTCTCAACGGATATTGGAAGATTAAAGAGGGTTTTCTTTACAGACATTTCTTACACCTTTCTGTTCCTATCTTTCCAGATTGGGATACGCCTTTATGCTAGAGGAATGCAGCAATACCACAAGCTGCCAAGTGATCCTCTTCTGGAAAGACTCCCTGCTCTTAAAATCCATGACTTCAGAGGAGTTAACAGGGAACTACCACTGTCTCACAACACAAACGCATCTTGGTCTGAACTCCCTTCGGAAAATAAAGCCGAATAAGAACATTTAAGTGCCTCCCTCTCCTACAGTAAACAGTCTCACTAATTTCCTCCGGCGGCTCTGTTCTTCCACCGTGTATTGAAAGGGAAAAACAATGACTTCATCCACATCAGATAAAGCCGTAAACTTACTTCTATCACATGCTTTTTTTTTCTCCCCCCTTTTCTTTTTTGCCAGCTTCAGCAATCATTCAGCCCGATTATGTCAGCCCTGGCACATGCTCTTCCTTACCTTGCAGTCCTCCGCGGCGGTGCCCGAGGACATCTGCTTGCTGCTCCTGAAGTGCAGCAGGAGCTCCTTCACCGAGTTCTTCACGCGGACCCCCTGGAAGGGGCCCCTGTGCTGCTTTCCTCCCCCCATGTGCTGCTCCACTGCTGGGACACGAAACGAAACGCCGAGATTAGTGGTTAAGAAATAAAACGGAGGAGAAATAAAGGCAGGAGGAGACACACTGATGGAAAGCGCGGTAGAGCCCTGCGCCCCGGCTGCGCCGAGCCCCGCAGCGCACTCCCCTCCGTGCCACTTCCTCCGGCTGAATCACGCCGGAACCTCCCATCGCAGCGCCAGCTGTCGAAAGGCTGGAAATCACCCCAAAAACCGGCCCTGAGGTCACCGCTCCCTCCCGTCACCCTCCCAGGCCCTCTCAGACGCGGGGGTCTCCTTCAGCCCCCTCCCCACCACCACCCCCGACGGCCGCCATTTGCTCGCCCCCACCCGCCCCCCGCCCGCCATTTGCTCGCCCCCCGCCCGGCCGCACCTTGCAGAGCGGGGCGGGCGCCTCCCCGCGAGGAGTCCCGGCGGCCGCCGCCGCGGCTGCTGACCGACAGGTCCGAGTCGGAGCCCGGCGAGCCCGGGGCGGAGTGAGCCGGCGAGCAGCTGCCCTCGCTGGAGTGCGGCGAGGCCCCGTAGAAGTACGCCAGGTTGATGGGGCTGCTGAGGGCGCCGGCGTCGCCGCCATCGGGCGCCGCGTCGCGGCTGCTGTCCACGATCATGGCGGTGCCGCGGGGCGGCGGGCGGCGGCGGCGGAGAAGGGCGGCGGGCAGCGGGGCGGCGGCGGCGGCGGGCGCGGGCACGGCCAGGGCTGGACGGCGGGGCGGCACGGCGAGGACTGGGGGGCGGCGGCCGCGGCGGCCGGGCTTATAGCGGCTCCTCCCCGCCGGCGGAGGAGGGCCCGGGGCCGGGAGGGGCCGCGCTTCCCGTAAGGGCGGCGGGGGGAGGCGGGACGCGGCCGCGCCCGGGGCGGGGATGGGCAGGCAGCGGGTAGACGAGGCGGCCCCGAGGGAGGGGGGCGGGCAGCAGGTAGACTAGGCGGCCCCCGGGGGGGGGGGGGGGGCAGCGGGTAGATGAGGCGGCCCCCGCGGCCCCGAGGGGGTGGGCAGCGGGTAGACGAGGCCTCCCCTCCGACCCCAACCCCATTCTCTGGCACAGCTCGGGGGATTCAGCCCTGGGCCGCCGCCGAGCGTGGAGCAGGCATCGGGCAGGCTCGGAAAATGTTTGTTTTTCAGGTTGCAGCAGGCTGCTGTGAGGCAGCCGGAGCCCGGCAGAGAGGAGTGGGCAAGGCGCACGGTGCCGAAACTAAAGGCGGGTGAAACTGTGCGCCTGTGACAAATGTCAACAGCACCGGTGACTTCTGACCCGCATTCACCAGGGAGACTTCCCCCCATCTTCCAAAAAACACGTTTCTCCTTTCTCATCTACCACCAAGGTCATCGTCTTCTAAAAAACAAGCGTGTGTGTTTGTCCGCACGACATTGTGATTAGGATGTTGTTAGCACAGTGGCTGCCCCCAAAAATATGCAGTAAAACAACACTGTATTTCTAAAGCATATTATGTAGATTGGAGGTCTATAATTTAGATTATTATACATGTTTTAATTGTGCTAAAAAACATGGGACAGGTGCAACGTGAAATTATATTAATCAGCCATGAGGAGGCAGGAGGGAATTATTTTGTATTATTCAAACATTTCTTCCCTTGTCAGGTGAAGACAGGGTTTCACTTGGAGTTATCTACAGCTTCCTACTACAGAAAGCTGTGTGTGCTTTTAAGCCATAGAACAAATTTATGCAGTCACAGTAAAACTTGCAAATGTGACGTATGAAGGCAAGTCAAACACTGCATTGTGCCTGAAATAGCATAGTCTAATAAAGGTAAAAATTCCTTTGTTACCTAATCAGCAGCTATCTCCTAACTGAGTGTTCTCACTGATTTCAGTGAACCTCTTTATGCAAGCAAGGATCTGTGAAATCAGGCAGTATGTTTTAAACATGCGAGAAGATTGTTCTCCGTTGTTCTCCAAACCTTAGATCTCAATTACGATACCTTAGCCTTAGGTAGATACTTTAAGCATTTCCTTGTTAAAAAGCACTTGCTGATCAGAGATCCCTTAACCCTCGAATGCGCTTTATGCACTCGGTGACTGATAGGAGGATCTGTAACACAGCTTTCTGCAGGCGGATCCGACTGGATCTTGTCTTCTTACAGCCAAACAACAACACGAATCCGAGAAGTATGTAATTGAAAGAATTAGATTTAGTGCTGGAGCTGTCTGTAATTCCCTTAAAAATGCCAAGGGTAAAAATGAATGTCAAACCAAAAGTGTATTCCACACATTTTAATTCTACTAGGTCATGGAAGGCCCTCAGAACACATACAGGCAGGGATGAGCAACATCTTTATCGTTGCTATTCCGTAATCATTTTGGAACTGATTAATTGAAGATTAGCCTCTACATATAAATGGAAAATATTCTGTAAAACAATTTAATGAGGTTTTTACCTTAATGCAAAGAGGGTGTGGAATTTCTTTTTCTGTTCCGAAGTTTCAACTCTACTGAAGTCTGAATTGTTGACTTGCTTTCATTTTACTAAGCAAAATCCACTTCAGGCAACACTCTGATACCTTAACTCATGGTTGTTTCATCAGCAAAATCTTATTTATCAGGTCTTTTGACATAAATCTACTCCCAGTCAAAGCAGATTAGGACAAGTCTAATTCCACCAAACTCTGTAACAAAAGGCTCTTTCAAAAATACACACGCCCATGTTGCACAAGATGAGCTGGCTCCCAGCAACCTCATAACTCTCAAAGTATTCCGTGCAAGTTACTGGCAAATTATTGCTACATTTACAAATTGTAATTATTAATGCTGCAGACCTCGAACGTTTCTTTTGGCCCAAACACCACGTAACATCCACAGTGACCAAAAGCCCGGCAGACGTTTTCAGCCTAAGAAAATTCCTCCCGGGCAGGGTAGCGACCAGAAGTGCTCGTCACCTCTTCTCCTGCCGGGAGAGCTGGCAGAGCCTGTACAGACAGCCACAAGCCAGGGAGGAGGGATGTCGGCTGGGAAGGAGCTGCAAGGGCGCAGCAAAGCAGGCAGTTTCATCCTCTTTTGGCTGAGGGTAATGCAGCATAACCCAGCGAGCTCCAGAGCTGATGTCTGAGAGGCCTGCACAGAGGAGGATGCCTCAGCTTGCCAAGCACTGGCCTCGCAGGTTTTTATTGCGCCATTACATATACTGCGATGTATCAATAATGCCAACTAGTGGCCAATATGAGCAACATTTGTCCTGAAACCTGTCTTAAGTACACCTGCAAATAGTGACATATGTTTATATCCATATCTCAGACCACTCAGACACAAAATGTATTTGTTTTCAGACCAAAGCCTCAGCTTGTTAGCTCACTGCAGAATAAAGCCTGAACAGGTATTGTTGAATTAAATCTAATCAGTCTTGGTTAGGTTATACCAGTTTAATTAAATCTAATCTGTCTTGGTTAGGTTATACCCGTACACTTGATAACTGAAACAACTTTTATCACTGCTTTTGGGTGTATGACTTGTGCACACCCAGGACCTACTTTGGAAGGATCTGAAAATTCAGATTAAAACAACAAAAAAAAACACTACTGTCTCAAAATTTGCAGTCATTTGTCTGGGGCCTCTCCCTTCATTGCAAAAGTCGTAACGGTTGAAAGACACCCTTGAGTTTTGCTACCAGCTAAACATCTAGATTAATCAGTTAGGTCTTCATTTTGCTATCCTGTTGAGAGCCAGCACTGAGCAAATATGCAACAGAGATGCTGTACTGGGCTTTTCCATCCATTAGGCCTGAAATAACTGTATCCTTGGTACAAGGAAACAGCTCAGCTGCTGCCTTAAGTTGAAGTAAAATCAAAAAGCCTCTTCAGTGCTTTGGGGATTTTCTGTTAAAACACACTTTCATTATTTTCAACACCCTTTTTTATTATAACCATGATGTTTTCTCTCATTTCTGGGTCCTCATGCTGAGAACAGCATTTTAATAATGATAACATAAATTCAGACTGAGGGAGAAATTTTTCTGTCCAGCTTTCAACCATCTCTGGTTTATGCTTTCTGACACAAGCTTTACTGCCTGAGCCAGAAGGGGAAGGGGACTTCCAGGCCATATTGCGAAGTGGCAGGAAAAAAGATGGAAAGAAAACTCCCACAGAACTGCCTTAACGTCACACAGAGAAACAGCCGTGATGAGCCCTGCAAAGCCCCGCGGCACAGGTAACAGAGGAGGTACTGCGCACTCTCTGCTCTGAAAAATCTAGGCTGCAAAATTTAGACAGAGGTTTGAGCATGCTTGCAAATACTTCCTCTCAACACCCTGCATCATCCACTATAGCTTCAAATGTAAGTGATGGCCAATCTAATGAAGCTAGCCCCTACTTCTGTGTGGTCAAACGATGTGGCCCCACAGTTTTCTCTCATATCCCAGTCCCAGGATTGGTAACAGTGTATTTATATGAGCTCAGTTCTGGGATCTCTTACAAAGCAAAGACACCAGCTCCTGTGGTTGAAACCTGGGCATGGTTTGCTCCGGGACTGCTCCCTAGAGTTAGTGTGGGCAAGGCTGTGCCGGTTGCCTTCCTCTATTTTATATTACTTTCCAAAAAGGTGTCCTTCCTCATCTTCCCCCTCAGAAAAATCCCCTCGGAGCTGTAGCTCCAGGTCACACATGCAACAACATCTTGTTTTAAAAGCAGCACAGCATTGGCCATGACACATTATTTCTGGCAGTCAGAGTCAAAAAAAAAAAAAAGGAAAACATGTCCTGAGGAGGACTCTGAAAGAGACCACAGCAAAGGGTTACACTTTATATATTTGGCCAGCCTGCTGTAGGGAAAGGGCTAGCCTGTATAGCATCGGTATGCCTGCACTGCTTGGTCATGGGGCACGTACTGGGCTGAATGCAGCAACCGATGTGGTCTTCAAATAAATAAACCCATAAGTAAATTAATGAAGCCCCAGAAGCAGAGCTTTGCCTTTACTGTGTGTAAGTTGCCTCCATGACTCCCAACAGAGCAAGGAGCACCAGGAGCGTGACAGCTCTCAAAGCAGCCCCCAGTTTGGTGGGTGTGGGAGTGGGCTAAACTCTCTTCAGTCTGTCCTAAGTGGCAGCACAGAACAAGGGCGAGCCTTTAGGTAAAGTGGCAGAGCACAAACTACTAGTAACAAAGATTTGGTTTTGCAACACACTTCTGGAATTGTACGACCTTTGTGGTATTTCTTAAACTGAAAATAAAAATGGTAGTTTACAATCCAGTTGCTTAATGCAAGTGAATATTTACTGTATGGATGTCAAATGTTGCTTCTTCTCAAATTGGTATAATTAGCCTCCTGCTACAGACTTTGAGTCAAGGTGTGTGAGCACAGCTGCCACACCTCTGTGTGCTAGAAGCATTTCCATTTTCCAGTCCAACACATAGTCCAACTACTTGCTTTTAGAACAGCATCAAGAAAACTGGAGATAAAAGCTTTGTAACTATTTCAATCCTAGAGACTGTTCTATAGTATCAATAAGTGTGTTTGCTTTAACATCTTAAGAGACTACCTGTCAGCAAATTGGAAGTGGTCCATGACACATTTTTGCTCTGAAAGCTAGTACAGAGGAGCCTGTGTCTGTAACCTGTTCGCTATACTTGTATTGCTACATTTTTCCTCAATGTTGGTCTCCAAGACTACTGTTCTAGGATTAGCCTGAACTTCAAAAGGGAGCATGTATAATTCTTCATATTAAAGGAAAATTCAGACTATTTATTTACCATGTATCTTTTGGGGCTTGCTGCTTTGATCCAAAGAATGCCCTCACTTCGGCTTTTTTCTCCCAGGCTGTTTGATATTCAAAAAAAACTTGGTTGTTCTTAAATAGATTCTTCCACACTGTGTATATAAAGCAGCTGAAATCAGTACAGAGGAAAAGAAATGCCAAACACAGCGAGTACTACAACGCTGCACGAGTTGATCTGATTTCTCTACCAGTAAACAGTCTCCCTTTACACCTTGTATTTGTGGACATTCCTCTCAACATACTCACTGCCCTGGTTAGTCATGTTTTCTCATAAGCTGCTCTATCTCATTAGCTCATTACCACCTTGCAGTAGGAACTCATTGCTAAGAAATACACGCACTGCTGATGTCACAGCGTATAAATATGGAGCAGGATGCTTTTTCCCCATAGCAAAGGACAACGTCACATGTCAGCTGGAAAGGATACTGGTGTGTACATAGATGAGGTAAATAAGTGCACGTTCTTGCCTCAAAATATTTTACTTCTTACAGTATTCTAGTTAGAAAGGGAGTTAGTGCTGTTTCTCGGTGCTGTTGAGGAGCCTTATCACAGGTCTAAAGATGCAAGCATGAGCTTCTCTTATGTCTCACACTGAAGGTCTTTCCCCTTCTAACTCAGGTGACCAACCTGGGCCAAAATCTGTCATTATAACCCCACAGTAATGTTTATTGTCTGTTCTCAGAGACAGGAGCTTGTGCTATAGCCACGACAGTGAGTTTGTCTCCAGCAGACTTCAGTTTCAGTCTTTGTACCTTCCACAAACAAGGACCACTTCAATCCCCAGTAAAACAAAATCATGTTCTCACAGGGAATGCAGAGATGTCTCCCAGAATGCAGCATCGCCATTCAACTCTTTAGTACAGGAAAAACTGCTTTATCTCAGTGAGATTTGAACCCAGAAAGACAACATTTTTCAAACCACGGTTTACCCAGGACCATTTCTAGTCTCCCAGTTTTTAGATAGTAATGGGTAAGCTATCCAAGGCTAAGGTTACCATACAACTAGGCTTCCCAAACACGTTTTTCTGCTCAAAAAAATGTCGTCCAGGCAGATTTTGAAACTTTGTCCACTTCTTGGATGCAGCAACCAGTCACACCTACAGCACAGTAGGTCCAACTGGGCTGACACCTGGCCAAACATCCCAGGCATACCGACAGCATGCATGCAGGTCAGCCGTGCTGTAGTTGTGCTGCAAGGTCAACACCTGCAGGGAGCCTCAGCGTTGATTTGCACAGCCCTACACAGCTTACACACACGAGCATCTACTCAGCCCCAGAGAGCGTATGGGTGTGCAGGAAATCCCAGGCAGAAACAGGGCAACACTGAGTGAAAGACAAGTGTTAACAATGCAAAGCTTATTGGAGCACGTGCCCTTGCTGTTCGCGTCTTGTGTCACGACCTTGTTTCACTACGGTTTTCATTCTACAGATTTTAAATGCCCTTTGTTCAGACTTCCAGTTACTAGAGAAATCCCGACTTTCAAATCACATGGCTATCTGACCTCAGGAAAGTCCTGAAACTCAGTTGTGGAATTGTCCTCCATTAGTCAGACAAAAATTCAATAAACAGGAAATATTTTCACTTCAGAAAGCACCTAAATCAAGGCAGATAAGTCAAATTTGACTATGGTAAGGAAAATTGTTAGGTTTATTCCAAGCAGCAGTATAAAAACTCCTGGTGCTTGGGATGAATTGCAGATTCTAGGGCAGGTTTTATCCTCAGATACACGTGTGCAATCATCTTCAACCAGGACATCACCACTATCTATAGGTCAGAATTTGCTACCGCATGTGTCTCAGCAACATAAGTCCTACACTTGCATAAA